TTCACGAAGGCTAAAAGAACATCGCGTGCAGGTCGTCGAGCTACCGAAGCGGGGGTGCCATCCCATCTGCAGAGGAACAAAATTGTGATGGCATGTCTTCGGATCATCCTCATGGATGTTTCCCAGACCGTCGCCAATAGCCCATTGTGCAGCTCTAGTGTGACGTAAATGAACTATAATAGAACTATAATATCTGAAATGATAATAAGAAAAAAGTGTTTTAAAAGCGTTTTTTTTCTAAAATTTATTTAGCACTTTGTTTTAAACATACAAATAATTTTTAACGTTTCATTTAGAAATTGAACATTACGATCGAACTTAATAATTATGTAATTATTTATGCATAATAGTACAAGAAAATATTAATTTGTAAAAAACGCTTTAAAAAAAGTTTTTAACACTTTGTTTTACGCGTATTATGAATTTCTAAACAAACATTTCAATAAATATTTTAAGTAAGATTTGTACATTGTAGTCAATTTATTTAATATCTTTCTTAAGCAAAACATATATATCTTCAAATTTATAAATTGATATAAATCAATCTGAGTTTGAAGTTTTGATAGAAATCTGACTTTCTGTGCCTTACAAGTAAAGGAAATTCAAAAATACTATATCGCGATGCAAAACTGACGATGCATCACGATATATAATTTCTAATATCGCCCAGTCCTACTTACAAGCAATTAGAAATATGCATCAGTTAAGTTTTATTTATTTATTTAATTTTTTTAAAATTATTTTAATTAAATTATCAATACATATAATAATAAAAGAATTTGTGTCTGTATATCAGATTACGGTTTTATCGTAAGCTCTAAAAATACGATATTCAGCGGGAAGCTCTAATAAAAAAAAGTTGTTTTTTTGCGAATTCTCTAATACTTAATTAGTTTTTTATTCGTTATGCTAGGCTGTCTGAATGATCAACATAATCGAGGTAGCATAAGCGTACTACGACACCATATTGCTACTTCTAAAGTTGTTTGAAACCACGTGTTTATTTTGCTAATTTTTATGGTTTCAAAACGTTAATTTTTTTTACAAAACTAAATAGTTCAAATTCAATGGTAGTTGAAATAAAAATAAGTAAATCTTTTACAGAAATCAGTGTTAAGGGAGAAATTAAGCTAATTCATTGAAAATAAACATAAAAAACACCAATATTAATTATGACGTCAATGAATATTAATTTTTAGTAATAATTTACAAATAGAGATAAAATATTAAGCTGTGTATTAAGAGGCAAAACTAATAGAGAAATGCTACTAATTCGCTTAAGAGAGCTTAAAAAAATCGACAAACTATTACTGACGTCAACGATGCTTAATTAATTTTGGCAATGGGGTATTAATTGAAATAAAAAAAAAGCTATGAACTGAAAAGAAAAATCAAAGGAGAAAACGTACTTATCATTTAAGGGGTATCATAAAAATTCGCCATACATCTATTGACATTAATGTTGCTTAATTTCGGTAATAACATCATGGTAATTGCTGAAGTTTTAATAGATACTAAATATGCTCTTAATTAGGTGCTAAGTATTTTATGAATAAATTTAATGCTGATTGCAGCTGCACCAATACTACACTATTTAATGTTACGTATCTTACGGCCTCTCGAGGATATGTGTACTGGAGAAAATAGCATCACTGTGGTAAATTTTTAATATTATGATATTGCCTCAAACAACAGCATTATACCATATGATACTGAATTTATCTCTTATTAACACTCTTATTGACACTAATGTTGTTTAGTTTCGGTAATAACATCACGGTAACTGCTGAAGTTTTAATAGATACTAAATATGCTCTTAATTAGGTGCTAAGTATATTATGAGTAAATTTAATGCTGATTGCAGCTGCACCAATACTACACATTTTAATGCTACATATCTCACGGCCTCTCGAAGATATATGTACTGGAGAAAATAGCATCACTGTGGTAAATTTTTAATATTATGATATTGCCTCGAGCAACAGTATTATACCATATGATACTGAATTTATCTTTATCTTTATTAAATAATGGGTGCGTGTTTCTATGTGTGTCTGTATACAAGATTGCTGGTAAAAGGAGGACTCTAAGAATACGAAATTCAACATGAAGCTGAATGAGAACAATTGCAAACTTTTTACGAAGCCCAATTTTCGAATTTTGATAAAATTTTTAAATTCGGAGACATTTACGAAATGAAATTTTCTCATTGGCTTTAAGGAAGCCATCGTTTCAAAATAAGCCATTGACGATTCAGTCAAATATTGTAACGATAATAACAGTGGTCGGTTGCCGTCATCAGCATGACATTATTTGTTATAGAAATGAGCTATCATAATTTAGAATCAAGTGAATAAATTTCTTAATTTATCTCCCGTAGAAGAAATTTTTTTGTAAACCTGTAAGTTTGCAGTTATTTTTGTACGCAATTTAATGCTAAATATATTTATATAATAGTAGTTTTTTTTTATTAGTAACTCAAATGATGATTAAGTATGCTAAATCGGTAAAATCCTAGAATAGCCAACCCCTAGGAGACTTTTTAAAATCTCGCAAAGTTGGCGATTATTACATGAATCAACGTTGCTTTCTATTAAAAACAATTTAAATCATTACAAATTTATTAAATTATTTTTAACTAGGAGGCTTCGCCCCCTGCTCGCTGGCGCTCACCAACCCCCGCAACTGCTTTTGCAGTTCATTTCGGATTGCTTCGCAATCCAATGCTCGCTTTGCTCGCTCATTGGATACGTTCTTAACGTCTAGCTTTTGTATACTTTTTTGAAACATTTCAATATTAATTTGAAATTGCAAACAGTTCACATATTTTTCTTAATCACACTATTCTAAATTTCAGTTGTTGAGAAAAGTAACTGTTGTAAGTTTTGTTTTAAAGTCTTTCCCACCA